ACTCTGGCATCCCAGGTGGTGCTGGTTCAAGTCCCGAGTGCTCCACTTCTGATCCAGCTCTCTGCTAATGGCCTGTGAAAGCAGTGAAAGACGGCTGGGCCCCTGCATCCATGAGGGAGACCCGGTCGCAGGGTTTAGTGGAGAGAACACCTGACAGGCCAGGTGGGCGGCTCAGGAGGGCTGCAGCTGCGCATGCAGTCTACATTCAGACTGGGCCTTTAAAGGCATGGGGCAAGGTGGGGAGGGCTCAGTTCTTCTCGCCGTTTCTCCCTCCCCTCCTCCTGATTCTCCTGGCCAAAGCTTCGCTGAGTATGAATTCAGGAAGATGTCTCCCTAGGTTTTACTGCTCACTGCAGTAGGGGGAAGGCTGTGAAGATTTTTTTTTTTTTTTAAGATTTCTTATTTATTTGAAAGGCAGAGTTACAGAAGCAGAGGGAAAGAGAGTATGTTTCTATCCGCTGATTCACTCTCCAAATGACCACTATGGCCAGAGGTGGGCTGATCTAAAACCAGGAGCCTGGAGCTTCCCCTGGGTCTCCCATGCTGGTGCAGGGGCCCAAGCACTAGGGCCATCCTCTGCTGATTTCCCAGGCGCATTAACAAAGAGCTGGATCGGAAGTTGAACAGCCAGGACTCAAACGGCGCCCGTGTGGGATGCTGGCACGGCAGGTGGTGGTTTTACCCACTATACCACAGTGCTGGCCCCGGCTATGAAGGTTCTACTACCTGGTGTTATCAAGCTGGGTAACCCATGTGGTGTTGAGCAGAGGGGATTCTTTCGGGGGAGCGTTCCCTGGGGGAAGGCTGGGCCCACCTGTCGCGTTGCTGGGGTAGGGCAGGACTCTGGTGTAAAATGCTGGGCTGCTTCCACGGCTGCCCGAGGCTGCTCTGCTGTGCTCAGGCCCCCACACACGTGGGCTAACCTCTGTCTTCCTAGCTAACAGCGTCTTGGTGGATTGCCCAGAGGGTGCCAGCCACGTGTGGGAGGACCTCTAGTAACAGCTCTTGGATAGTCACACGCTCACCTCGGCAAGTAGGTCCTGTGCTCAGGCAGGAAGAGCCTGGGCTCTGGGCTTTGTGACCCGGGAGGTTGCTTCCCTCTCTGGCTCCTTCCTGCCTGCGGTCAGCTTTCCTTTCCACGAGGTTCAGCTGGGTGATGTTTGTGTATGTTTCACGTGTTTCTTTTGAAACACCCTCTCGATAAGAAGGAATCCTGTACATCTTCATTTATTACAATACAGACGCTTAGACAACAGAGAAAAACACCAAGAGGCAGAAAAATAACTTAGAAATTACCACTGATGGCTTCACTCAGGGGTTTCCTTCGCTTCTGTTTGTTTATTTATTTTGTGAGAGGCTGGGGGAAAGAGAGAGAGTTTGATTCTTTGGTCCACTGGTTCACTCCCCAAACGCTTGCAATGGCTAGAGCTAGGCCAGGCTGCAGCTGGAACCAGGAAGTCAATCTGGCTCTG